TCTTCAAAATAGTCCAGAAGTGGTCTGTATCCCCGCCCTTCCTGTATCTGGGAAACTTGTACTTTTCCACTGACACTCCTTGGGAGTGTTGGACTGATTGCAGAAGATACTCTACTCTTCAGCCCGTTTCTAGCTAACAGGCATGTTTCTTTTATTCTTCACCAGCTTATCTTTTAATTTTTCTTATAGCTCCATTCTTTCAAGTTTCTCCTCTTTCTCCTCTTGCATTCTCTTAAATTCCATCTCAGCTTGGACTTCTCATGTCCTGAGCTCAAGCAGGTAGATGGGTCCCACTGGAGTGCTTGAGATGGCTTCTTTAGCTTTTGACACAAATCTTGGAATCTGACATCCTGCAAAATATCTTCTACTAGCTACACAGGAAAAGGTGGGTCCCCATTTCTCAGTAGCATACAGGGGTTTTTCTGCCCCTTAACACTAACCTAACTATCCCATCCAACCTGGAGGTTACTGCTGCCACCACCCATTTCCCAGGCAGTGCCTCTTCTGGTGTCCTCCCCCTAAACTCAGTCTATGAGAAAGATAGAGGCTCTGCCTTTCTGATGAATAAGAGGTAACATGGAAAAAAGTTAAACAATTTCCATAATACAACCTCCAGCCCTTGTAATATAACTAAGTGTGATTAGTGATTTCAACCTTTCCTTCCCTCTTTGGGAGATAAATCAATCTCACAACGAACTAAAAAAAATGATTTTATTTAAGTAACTCAAAAGATATATGAACTTGATTTACAAAAACACATACAATGTACTCAGCAAACACAATATGCTCCTGGTTGACTATAATTAGAGATCTTGGGAAAGAGATGGCTTTCAAGATATGTCAGCATCCTAGACATTAATAAGTAAATCTTGAACTCAGTCTGAAATCACACAGAATGCCCTAAATGTGCAGAGAAAAAGAAAAAAGAAAAAAACCCCAAGACTTTTAATACAGACAGAAGATATTAAGACAATGCAATGTCTGACAACAGCAGTTACTGATTTCTTAGAGATAACCTGAATCCTGTAGCAAAGGATTTAGAATAATCTGAATCCTGCTGGGGAGGTGGTACACTCTATTTATTTTCCCAGCTCTTGCTTCACATGCTTGGAATTTTGTTTTTGTCTTTTAAAAGAATAAAGCTTTTCTCTGTCTACGAGAGGAGAGGTTGAGGAATCTCCAAGCACATGTGATAAAGCACATGCCCAAGAGGGATATATTCAAACTCAGATGCTGTCTGACATTTAAACAGGCAGGAAGGCTGCAGTATTATGAATGCAGGGTGACTATTCATAAGAAAAGCTATTCCCCAATACATGCACATACACCTATGGTAATTTGGAATCTCCCTCCTTGTTCATTCTGAATCCAAAGTTCTAAATTCACAACATCCAGTTTTAAATCTCATTTTTTAAAAATCCAAATTATACCATTCTTAGTGTATACAACTGTATACAATATCATTCTTCGGATCATCTGAAATGATCTGAGCAGTCAGATTCAGACTTTCTACTCTAGAGTTCAGTCTCTGGAATGTAGAATTCTATTCTCAATTCAGTGGATAATTAAGTATCTGAATGTTAATACACTTTGGAAAAAAATTCATGGAAGAAAAAATGCACACTTACTTAGCTACAACGTATTTTACAATAATCATGTTTTGCTTCCACCAATGAACAAAGTCTCCAATTCAGCAGTCAAAAGATCCACCGAGTCAGCCTCTTTAAAGAGGTCTTCTTCAAGCTTCTTCCACCAGGGCCACTGAATATATTTCAATATAGTGTTATGGGACTGCTTGGCTTTGGCTACCACCGGAACTGATCTGCTCATAAAGACGTTCAGATCTCTCATGGTGCATTCTGAGAGACTTGGAGCACCTATGGCAAAATACATGACTTTCTTTAGAAGACTTGGTTAACCTTCTCCACATTTGCAGCTTTTATCATCTAGTTTTCATATTAGCATTCTACAATTGTGCAATAATAAATATATGTAGAGGCACTGCAGCTAAAGCACACAAAAGCAAGTTCTAACAAGAAAGTTTAGGCCATATATAACTTATGAAAGCAAAGAAATAAAAGACAGCAGTGAGAAGCATATAAGGAGGAGATAAGTTCAGCAGAATTGTCTTGCTCTGGCTCAGATATATACCATCCTTAATACTGGAGCTAATATATAGACAACCTATCTATTTTTGGTTACTTTGTGTTTTCCAGACAAAATAGATAGAAATCACAATGCTGTTTCTTGGCAATTTGAAGTAAGGTTGAATAGTAGGAGATTTAGGATGCATGAGAGTTTATGTCTAACCTATGTAATTTGCTATCATAAGATACACTGATGATCACAACTTGGATTGCTTTAAAAGATTAGAGCAGACTACATGTAATCTAAAACCAATTTATCAGGCTTTAGAGCCCAATTGAATTTCAGCAGCAAACTGCTATGAAATTATAGTTCAGTTTCCTCCTTATTTTGTGGTAGAAAGCAATAAAAAAGAGGTGCCTAAGCTCTGCTGATGTTCAACATCTTATCTCTCCACCCATCCCAATCATCCATTAGAGTATGTCCTATGATGATAGTATGCAGTGTTATTAGTATAGAGTTTGGAAGCAGAGATCAAATTTAGGGAGGTCTAAAAATGATAAAAACAAAACTATGACTAACATTTTAAAAGGCAAGTCTATTCATTCCAGAATAAACAAAGAACATTGGTTGGATTTCAAGCTAAAATTCCTACATGGAAGAATAATACCAGTCAAGGATGGGACTAATAATAGGGAGAATACAATGACAGATTATAGTACAACAGATTAGGCCAAACTGACCATAAGTTATTGTCATGGGGAAAGTACCACTTGAATTTTTCTGCTTTAAACAGAAAAACCTCTTGTATTGTTTCTGAAGAATGTTGTGGAAAGAATTAGAACTGCTGAACTAGCAAAGATGGCAAAATTAACTTGTTTGATTAGAGAAAGATCAACAACTACATTTATTAGTGACTGGATACCCCTTATACACTTTTTGCTGAAAAAAAGAGAAAAATGAACTTGTGATTTATGGGTTTGAAGATTCAAAAGTGTAGTTTATGGAAAGAAGGAAATTATGATGTCACCTGAGAGAGAGAGTGGGTAAAATATAAATGTATCTATAACTGCTGTCAAGAAGATTGGAAGCAGCTACTTTATATCCTTTCCTTTCCTTTCCTTTCCTTTCCTTTCCTTTCCTTTCCTTTCCTTTCCTTTCCTTTCCTTTCCTTTCCT